CCATGTGCGCAAATCAACGTAATGTGAATTTAGACAAAAATGTCTGCTAATACTTTGTTTGCCGAAATGCCAACCTTCGAGAAATTATCGTGCATGTTTTATATTAGCCGTGGTGACCACTTCAGTTCCGTCCCAACTGAAGCGGTGGTCATTATCAATAGCGTGCGCGAACTCAAAAGACACTGGGCCACTTATACGAATGGCCAGCTGATGTTCATGTATGCGGGTCCCGAGTTTCCGACCTGTATGACCTATGTTAACGGTAGGGCAATCAGCACGCGGAATGCGATAAATCGCATTGGTTTGGTGCTCTTTCGGCATGCGGTCTTGAATGCGAGATAGGGCTGTCCTCAGGGAGTACGCCGGCTTGTGAGCGATGCTGAGCCGAGTCGATTTAATTATAGAGCGATCACTTCAGAAATTCCGTGCAGGTAGGGTAAGGAATAGAATGTCCGTTGTACCACTTCTGTGTTGGCGCTCCGAGCTTCTGGTTGTCTCTGAAATCGGAGACAGTTTTTCACGAAACTCGTCGGATGTCCATTCGATCGGAATAATTGTTATAAGTGGGCAAGTTCTCTTTTAAGTAGATGCTCGCTGTTACAGTGCCGAAAGGCGCGGTGAAAAAGCCTTTTAAGCGTTTTTTTTTCATTCCGTCTGACGAAGACCTAATGTCACCAACCCAAAAATTCACGAGTAAAACTCCATTTTCAGACGAGCCTTCTTTCTACGCTACCTCTTTTGTATAAAAACGCACGCTAATTTTGAACGATCAGTGGATTTACGCGTAAACATCAAGACTTTACGCACGACCATCTGTTCTGTTGTCATTATTATGGAGCATATAATCCACTTGCTGGCTGTTTGATTAATTCTTTTTTGAGAATGCTTTATGAGTCAGTCTTATGGAGTACTGTACAAGCAAACAGATTTTCTGTTAAATTTCTTTGAAGCGCAAAAACCCTTTCCTGCCGAGTGCCAAGTAAGCTTGCCCAGAAGAGTTCTTTTCATATTCTAACTTTGCCGCGTGCGCTATCGACCTTGTCGGGGAGCGTGGTTGCTTAGGTCTGCTAACGACCGGTGTGGGTTTAGCAAAAAAAACTATTTTTCGCGTTAATCACATCCAGTCCAGCCTGATAAGGCGGCCAAAAAGTGCTCTTGCTAAAAGGGCTGTTTGGCTCGCACCGATCTCATATAGGGCCTCCTGAAGATCTAATCGAGCAGAACGTTGCAAAAAGAATTTCCCGTTCTTCCCACAACGAGGCAGCTTTTGTGTCGTTTGCTTATATAATGCATAGCCAAATATGCGTTTTGACAGATGGCCTGTTGAGAAACGAAAACAAATAGAACTACTAATAGAAATCAATCTGTCATACTTGATTTAGTGACGCGTGTACGTAAGCTTAGCCTTACTTAAGTATATTTATATCAGAATTAGGCTATTTTAAAACTGATTTAAAAGCCAAGATGTTTTTTTCCGATTTGACAGCGGCAGAAGGACGCTCATCAAATGCGTTACGGGACATTCTTGTCTCGTTTGGCCTTGGAGCACAATCTAGAGCCTCAGAAAAATAGTAAGACGCGATCAACGGAACAACGGTTTCATTTTCCTGACGTTTCGGATTCTCGACAGAATCCGAAACGCCCGGAAAATAAAACCCTTGTTCCAGTGATTGCATCTTCTTCCGAACTGCTTCCTGGAACTCGCATATTCTCCTCTATTGGCAATCTAGAGCCTGTCGGTAGCCCCGAAACTATTAGTAATATAGGTAAAATATTACTGCAATGGCCATTTCGCGCTTGTCAGCCTAGCAACACTTGAGGCTTTTTTGGCCAAGTGGAAAGTCTTTCTACAAACATTTTTGGTCGGCATCCGTCCGGTCTAATCGCCTACCGTTCTCATTCGTCAGTGGGGAAAAGTGTGAATCACACATCTAATGCAAAGTCTGTTCGATATAACTCAGGCAACGTTTAATTTGCAGTTTACGTTAAAAATGACTACCTTATTAGGCAAATTTTAGGACATTTAAGTTGTAAATCTTGCTATCACAATCCTGGAGTTGGGATAAAAGGCACTTATTCCGATGCACAAACTGGTCTAGGGATTAGCTGCGAACGAAACTCCAATTCCAACGACGGGGAGAGATTCGTAAGTTCTGATTTTATAGAATGTCTGTCTTACCGGTGCGTATTTAGAAGAACAATAAAAAGTGTAAGCAGCAATCGTAAAGCAATTAGCAGAGGAGACACTAGTGGCCCATCCATTAAAACGTTTAATTTGCCTGCATACAGAGTTATCTCAGGAGAGATCTTATATGTTTGGGCCAGCTAAATGGAGTGCTGATTAAATCACTAAAAAGTTTAAAACGTAATTTCATCAGAAAATTAGTTAGCCGGGTTTCAGAAAAATTTTCGCGCCACAGTGAAATAAACCTTCTGCGTTCCCTTGCTATTTTTCTTGTACGTGTGAATTTTTTCTTCAAAATACTCTTGAGTCCCTGTCTGCATTTAGGAACAAAACTACTTAATTGTTTTAGGGCATGCTGTCCAAATTATTTTAATTAGGGCCTTAACAGCTCTTGGCTACTGAATGGAAACCAAAACAGGTGTGATGTGCACGAAATTA